AGATCGTCAAAAAAAAAAAAAAAAAAACTATCAAAATACAAGGACCTAAAAAATCGAAATCTCAAAAATGTGGCACATAGAACATTAACAATTCCAGTTGTAATTGAAGCCTAAGATTCTAATAGACTCATTGAAGGGATTCCTAGTAGCCTATGCCTTAAAGAAAGACAAAAATTGTACTCACAAGTACAGCCAACTCCTTACGAATGGTTTTATCAATGTAAATATGTGCGATTATTTTTTTCAAAACTGTTTAGTGGAAAATGTCATAATGCCATTTCAGACTCTAGGTCTCTGGTCGGGACCCAGAAAGAAATGCGTATACACCCAGAAACCAAAGGAAATAATAATAATAATAATAATAATAACGTTATAATACACACAGAAAAAGGGCTTTATCTATGTAAAATATGTGTTTGTGTGTGTGTTTTTAAAAACTGCTCAATGAAAAATGTCATGATGCCATTTCTGACCTTAGGTCTCTGGTCGGGACCCGGAAAGAAATGAGTATACACCTAGAAATCAAAGAAAAAATAATAATAATAATAATAATAATAATAATAATAATAATAATAATTCATGTGCTTATCAAAGTGTTGTGTGCTTAAGCTGCGGGTAGAAGCTAAGATATTATTACCAACCTATCGAAACATCTAAGAGTCGGTGAATATCTAAATAATAATAATAATAATAATAATAATAATGATAATAATAATAATAATTGAAGGAATTCCTGGTATGATGGAGAAAGCGTTATTTCCGCACAAGTAAAAATGATACAAAAAAATCAATCTTTTATCATTTCCTTGACTCTTAAATCTCATCTTCCAAAATGTGATCTGTTTCATGAATAAGCCAAAGCTAACAAATATTTTTGAGTTTATTCCATTATTTGACACAAATCTTGGGAGATTTCGAATTTCATTTCAGGTGAGAGCTGCAAAACAATTTTTTTTAATTTCAGAAACTCAATCGCATTTTAGAATTCCTCTCTTTTATTTAACAGAAAATTATAGGTATTTCTTTAGTGTCTGTTACTTGTGTAGCAGATATATTTTTACTTTATTTTACTAGTGCCAATGTTGATAAGTCATGTTCTTATCGAGTGTAGAGAAGAATAAATAGCTTCAAGCTATGTCCTATTCTGATTCCAATCTCTGAGCGCAACTTAACATTTATCGGGCCCCAAAAATGCATCATTAAATCATTTTACTAACTATACCACCACATGTATAAACAAACCTAATCGTATATTTCCTAGATGGAAAAGTCAATAAATTACAAAATGTATTACAAAAATTAGCAGTTAATAAGATTTCACTGTTTTTTATTGAAAAATTATTTTTTTTTTCTTTTTTGAAGATTGTATTTGATATTTATATTTTATTTTATGTTTATTTGGAGAATAAAAGTGATTCCGCAAATGTTCTTTAGCCTAGAGTATTTTATTACGACGAACAAGGAATGTCAAGGATCCGGATTTTAACCTGTTTTAAAGAGCTTTTAAAAGGGTGTGGATTCCATAGAAAGCTATCCCAGTTAATTGTAATATTTTATTAGCAACAATTAAAGCCTTTTGCCTTGGACGAATTTGAAATATTGTCTATAAAAAATTCTGTTCATACCCAGAAATATTTCCGAAGTTGAGGTCTCGAATCACATTCAGAGTGAGTATTATATGCCTTGCTATTCGGTCACCTTGTATAAAAATGTCTCTTAAAATACGTTGCACTCGTTGAACCATAGGCAAAAAGAAAGGTTAAAAATAAAGAAAGAACTATTCAGGTATTGTTTTAATCAAATATATATTTGATTAACACAATACCTGAATTGTTCTAAGGAATATATCTTTTAAATTTATTTATAAATACAAAAATATGTTGCACAATAAAATCCGGAACCCTCTCAAACAAGTTATTGCACTTTTCAAAATATATAAATAGAATACTAAGACGCCATGTGGATTTGTCAGTTAAGTACTAATAATAGTTGTTCGTATATAGGCAAGGAGGAGGATGAATAGCGGCTCGGATTGCGGAATCGGATAGCCGAGTTCGAATTCCAGTCGAATCCGTTACATTCACTTATGTGCTAATATGAATCCTCTTCTCCCTCCAGCTATAGGTTAAATAGCAGGACAGACCGGGTTTTATAGCCTTGAATAGCATTTGGTGTACCGCAGAAAGAAATGGCAATCTACAGCGGGAAAAAATCTGCCTGGTCAGTCATGTATCGGAAGATACATGATCGCTTAAGCGTGTATCCCGCATGGCACATTGATTGAAATGGGCAAGTGGCTAGGGGTTAGAGATCCATATTTGGATCTCATGTTGGTCGACTTGTCAGGAAGGTAACTTCTTGATGTTATCGGCCTGGGTGGGGAGGTGATCTCAGCCTACGGCACCTCTGGGAAGTGACTGAAAATCATACCATCAGCCTTTATGTTATGCGCGTTTTGTATCAAAACCGGTCACTTTATCTTACACATTATGCTGTGATGGATTGGCTTGCATTATTCATTTCGGTGTGGATATCATGATGAGTATATTGACCTTCGTATTTCTGTAACCAACGTCACTTAGTTGGCATACTCCTCTCTCAGTTTGACTAAAAATATTGCTTAATCAGCCAAGTATTTGATATTTGTGTTTCTCATTAGATTTAGAACTAATGTCTTACAACTCACCTCCCAATGAAAATGACCAAACACAATAATTTCTTTTAATCTCCATTTGATTCTGTACTAAAATAAAGTAAACATAATAAATCTCTATCTACATATAATATTTTTCAATTAAATATGTGTATATGACTTGTATAATAATTGTCCCCAGAGATATTCTTATCGAGTCGCTATGCCACACACATCCAGTATTACACACAGAGCCTAGCCTGGGGTGTTAAGGTTTTCAAGATGTTAAGCTTTTTCAAGGTCGTATGCATGGTTCTTCAAGATTGGGGAAACTAGATGATGTTCCATAATTTGTGATTGCCGGCATTGGCAATTGGGATCATCATCGATAGCATATCCTCATTTCTGGTTGTTGGCTCCACAGCGACCAACAGGTGTTTGGAGGCGATTTAGGCTGGACCAGAAGGTCCAAGCATCACTGAAGCCGATGGAAGGAATTCTTTAGGGCTGACAGAGAGCCTGTATCTCATGTTGTTAAGGTGGCTACACCACAGAGACAGACGCTGACTAGGATGTATGTTGTTCAGTGGTTTAGCTGAATGTAAATGCTGAATCTTGACTTGATCCTCTTCGTCAGTTATTCACAACCGTGGAGTGAGTGATGGAGGTCAGTTTCCTGCTTCAACTATTCAACTTGGGGATGGAATGTCCTTTCGATCTAAGGGTGGGGCGATGCCACTAAGAAAGTAGAAGACATCTATTTTGGATGGATTCAGACACCCACTGATTAATCTGTAAGAAGCATTTAAGGCAATCCAGGTTCAACTACCTTCTTATCGAGTTGCTATACCACACCCATCCAGTGTTGCACACACAGACCTTGCCTGGGGTGTTAAGTTTTCAATGTCGCTAAGTGTGCATGTATCTTCAAGATTAGTGGAAACTAGATGAAGTTCCCTAAATTGTGATTGCCGGCATTGGCAGTTGAGATCATTATCGATGGCATATCCCCATTTCTGGTTGTTGGCTCTACAGCGACCAACAGCTGTTTGGAGGCGATTTAGGCAGGACTAGAAGGGTCAGACATCACTGAAACCAGTGGGAGGAATTCTTTAGGGCTGAGAGAGAGAGCCTGTGTTCCACGTTGTTAAGATGGCTACACCATATAGACAGACGCTGACTAAGAGCTATGTTCTTCAGTCGGTCGGCTGGGTGTAAAAAGCTGTGTCTTGAGCCTCTTTGTCATTAGCTCACAGCCTTGGAGTGGATGACGGGGGACTGTCCTTCTTATGTAAGCAAGTAGAGGTCATCTACGAAACCCAGTTATCGAGCTAAAAAAGGTGTTTAAGGCAGGGTCGATTTTCTTTGCATGGGATCACTTACTCCACGCCGGTGAGTCATATTCTGTGGTGGAGTAGCAAAGGGCTCGGCCTGTGGTGCTGATTGCGCCCTTGGATATTCTTATACTATTTTCAGCGCACAGCAATTCCTCGCAAGATATCACGTGAATCACTTTCAGGAAGTATAATTTATAAATTATTTATAAATTGCTTTAAAGAAAAAAATCAATTATGCTTTATTTTCGAATTATAGGTTATAGTTTACAGGTAGAATATTAAAATGGGCAGGAAATATCTAAACTGTTAAATAAACAGATTTCTCTTGCGAATTGTATCAACAAGGAGAAATCTATTTCAAATTTAATAGACTGTCTTTTGAATAATGCATTTCGCGGCGTGAATTCTAGAAACGGATTGGAATATGCCTTCCTGTCTGTTATTTCATTCAAATAGATTTCCAATTCTGTTAAGCACAGAATGTCAGGAAGTCGATTTTTTGTCATTTTTGTAGGTAGTAATTTGGTAGATTAAATTAAATTGATAAAAAAACTGCAGAGATCAATTACAAAGACTTTCGAGATCTGAATGCTAAACCCCCTCTGATAGCACAAGTTTAGCTTCTTCTTGCATAAGGCAAAATTATTACGATTACTAGCCAGAATCGAACTCACGACAGTAGAAGATTTGTATGAAAAACGAATCTATAAACCAGCGTACCACATTAGACACTCAACAAGCATTCACTTAGAGAATAATTACGAACACTTGTTCTAAAATGAGTAAATGTCAAATCTCGCAATCTGTTGAGTGTTGTGTCATCCATATATGCTAAACAAGCTTTCTTTACGTGATTTGTCTGCTTGGTGGCTGGTTCAGTTGCCTGTTTGACGAGAACACCAGTTTATATGTCAGTATTTGGAAATATAATTTTCAAAGCGTATGTTCTTTTATACAACGTAATTTTCTGCACTCATATACTTATAAAATCTGGAATTAGCTACATGGCATAAATCTCGGGTCAAAACTTGCTAGATAATATTCCCATGAATTGAAAGAGAAAAAGCGTAAAAACTGAACGCTTGCCCAGCTATACATATATGATAGTCGTAATAGATCCACGAAGAAGAAGAAGAAGAAGAAGAAGAAGAAGCAAATGGAGGGCAAAAAAAGAAAGAAAAAATAATTGAAATAGATGGAGAAGCTGCATGAAAGTAGAAAGAGAAGGTGAAGGAAACAATGAAGATGATAGACGAAAAAGAAAGAAAGACTAAAAGAAGGGCAGAAATAAAAGAAAGGAACAAAAACGGGTAAGAAAAAAATAGAGAAGAAAAAGAGGATTCAATCAAAACAAAGAGAGGACATAAAAGAGAAAAGAAGAAAAAAGAAGAAAAAATATGCAGGGAGATAAAGTAAAGAGAAGAATATAGAAAGAAAAAATTAAAGAGAGAAAAAGAGAGAGAAAGAGAGAATACAAAAGATACCGAGAAAAAGAAAGAAGGAAAATGAAAGTGGTTCCAAGGGAGATAGATACAAAGACAGTGAAAGACAGAAGAACCGATTAGGAAAGAAAATTTCAGAAGAATTAGTAGAAATGAGGAATGAGTGAAACAGAAGCAACTGTTTACCCACACTAAGGAATCTAATAGAATAAACGAACGACCCGTGGCATGCAAGTAAATTCTGATCGATCGATTCACTCCGTTCCGAACCTGCCCCGCCCCTCGGCTGAATCGATCGTTCGAAGATGACAGTATAATGACTGCAAGATGGTGCAAGTTTCCTTGCTGCCGATCTTGGACTGGGCTGAGAAACTAGCATAAAATCTCTTCCAAAGTGCAACAAGGGTGAAGTGACCCTGTGATGCACAGATTTTGGTTGCATTCTGAGAAATTTATTATTAAGGTTCAATGATATTTTACAATTGTAACTGGGTGTTTTTGAGGTTTAGACAAGGGCTAATTGAATGGAGAAACTGTTAGCGAAAGACTGACACACACACACACACACACACACACACACACACACACACACACACATATATATATATATATATATTATTTACATTATTCGGACTATTGTCCTCATCTTTGTCGCCATATTTATCACAACGTTTCGGACGTTGAACGCTTCGGCCTTCTTCAGGTGGTTGGAATGTCGAACTGAACCCTTTATTTCGTTCACTGGGGTAGACTGTTCTAGTTCCACGTGCCATGTTTGATGGATGTCAGTTTTCAGTTATCTCCTGTTAATTATCCCTCTGGAAGTTCTCCACTGTCTTAACCAAAAGTCTTGGCCCACTCTTTGTCGCCATATTTATTACAACGTTTTGGCCGTTTTCGGGACGTACAACGGCCGAAACGTTGTAATAAATATGGCAACAAAGATGAGGACAATAGTCCGAATTATGTAAATAGTGTACATAATACATCATCTCAGGAATATAGACAGATACTGAAGAACCGAAATGTTGTAATAAATATGGCGACAAAGATGAGGATGAGGACAATAGTCCTAATAATGTAAATAGTGTACATAATACCTCATTTCACAAATATAGACAGATAATGTAATAATCGGTTGGTATATAATCCACGTGAATCCTAATAATATAAAATATTAAAATTGATCCACAAAAAGAGCTCAATGTATTTATAACAGAGCATATAAATAGCTCAATGTATAACAGAACATATAAATTACATAGAATGAAATCCAAAATGCCCTCATTCGAACAGCTATTTCGTCCTACAAGAATTATTTATAGGCCTTGTCAACTTAGAGGTGTGAAGAAATAAAATAGGAGCTTAAAATATAAACATTTAAAGAATTAATTATTTAGAACTAATATTTACTATTATTTAATATTACTAATATATACTATTTTCTATTTTAAGTTTTAAATTGTTTGCACTCGAGTCTTTAATTTTATTTAACTTCAGATATTAATATTTTAAAATATAGGTCAAGGTTATTTTGACTGTCGTTTATTCTTCTTTCTTTTTCTTCTTTCTTCTTTTATTCTTTAAATACATGAATTTTAGGATTCTATTTTATTTCTTCGCACCTCTGAGTTGACAAGGCTTAAATAGATATTCGAAGGAGGTAATTTTGGATTTCTATTCTATATATATATATATATATATATATATATATATATATATATATATATATAGAATAGAAATATATATATTACATAGAATAGAAATATATATATATATATATATATATATATATATATATATATATATATATATATATATATATGAATTAAAAGATGTATGAGTAACCATATATGCGTGTGATTACGTTCATATACAGAGTTGGAAATAAATGTTTATTTAATTTTGGTGTAATCAAAATAGTGCTTACTGTAGCGTAACAGAGCTATAAAGTATATAATTAACTATACATATTACTTACGTCAGTTGTACAACTCAGAGTTTCATGTTTTTACAATAGTCAGGTACTAATAGTTATGAGCTTTTCAATAAGGTTGTTTTAAAAAATTTTGTCTCCCATGGGAGCAACGCTATAATTTATTTTCATTCAATGTTTAAAATTATTATAATTACAATTTAATATTGGGGTAAAAATGCAAAAAAAATGATATGTGGCTAAGAAAATAATGTAAAATAAAGTAGAATAAAAAAAAAAACTCCAATAAAATTAAAAATAATAAAAGAGTCCAAGGGGGCAACTTTACTCTTATAAAGGTCAAAGTGAAGAAGAAGGCAAAGAGAAAGAGAAGGAAAAGCGAAAGAAGAGGAAATATGGATAGAATTAAAGGTAAAATAAGAAGTTAGTTATGTGCCATGCGTGATGGCGCTTAGGCGATCATGTATCTTTCGATACATGACTGACGAGGCAGATTTTTCTCCGCACTAGTTTGCCATTTCTTTCTGTGGTAGACCAGTTGCCATCCAAGACTATAGAACCCGATCTGTTCTGCTATAGATAGATCAGACAGTCAGTTATGTGCCATGCGTGAAACACGCTGAGGCGATCACGTATCTTTCGATACATGACTGACGAGGCAGATTTTTTTCCCGCAGTAGGTTGCCATTTCTTTCTGCGGTAGACCAGTTGCCATTCAAGGCTATAGAACCCAGTATGCCCTGTTATTTACCCATAAGTATAAATATAAATTTAAAACAGAGTTAAAATAAAATAAAACTAGAAAGAACAATGACAATTAAAACGTAAAAAAAAGTAGTCGGAACGGTTGTTTTATAAAAACTATGGATCCGGTTGAAGCAAAATTATCAAGTCAGTGTATAATATTGTTATAAATATAATCTAATATTGTGGAATAAATGCAAATTATAGAGAGTGTTTAAACAATAAAGTAGATAAGGTAAAATTAAAAAAATAAAAATGTAGACGCTGAGTTAAGAAACTTTCATTAAATTTGAAGGTTGTAATGGTCCAAGGGGGGTAACTTACAAAAAAATGGTTAAGGGAAGAAGAACAAAGATAAACGGAATAAAATTGATATGGATGTAAAATAAATAAGGAGCTAAAATAAATAGAAATCTAATATAGAATTAAAAGGAGAAAGGTTATAAAAATATGGAGAAGAAGTTTTGATAGAACGAAACGGTATACAAGTGGAAAGTGGGGAGATAAAAAAAAAACGAGACAGATCAGGATAATTCTAATTATTGCTAGATTAAAATGTTAACTTTTCTTTTCTTTTATTCAATTTTTTTAAAGCTTTTTACCTCAAGCAAGGCGGGTGTGCCACTAGCACGCAAGGGGTTACATAGGGGGGGAGCAATTCATGGAGTTTGGGAACCAGGGAAAGTAGTTCGTCGGAGCAGTTACCGTGAAAGTATTTGTAGAAAAGACAGAGGGAGGTGACGGCACGTGTGTGAGAGAGCGACAGTAAACGAGATGTTTTACATTATTTTCTTACCTGCACACCATTTTTGCATTTATACCCCAATATTAAATTATAATTATAATAATTTTAAACGTCGAATCAATAAACAATATATCGTTGCTCCCATGAGAGCCAGAATTTTTTTAAAACGACTCTTAGTACCTGACGATTATAGATATATGAAACGCCGAGTCTTACTACTGAAGTAGGTAATATGTATAGTGAATTATATAGATGAGACTGAAAGTACTGTGGAAAATAAAAATTATTTGAAAGAAAATTTTGGCATTTTTCTTAATCAATTTTCTACCGCCACCATGAAATTGATTCTTGGACTCGAAAGGATTAAAACAAAAATAAACAGATAGTATGTCTAAATTATTTAACCAAACCAATATATATATATATATATATATATATATATATATATATAGAGAGAGAGAGAGAGAGAGAGAGATATTACAAAGTGTTAATCATACCTTGAATCAATTAGCAATATTAATGCAATTATTGGCGAAATCCCTTCATAATTATAAGCATTATACTACTAATAATCCACTGAATGATGAGATCTTTATGTATAAAATGGATATGGTGTATTTTTTAATTCAGCTAGTACTTTCAAAGACCCCTGTCTCCATCATCAGGCTGTATTTTCTTTCCTTTAGAATCAAAATTGGAAGACGAAATAAATGTTTTGCTGACTGAAAGATGTTTTTAAGAATGAGCTATTTATTAACGTTTGTGTAATGTTGGAGAGTACAAGTCACAACTCTAAATTTCAAATATTTCAAGTGATAATTTTTATATGAATTTTGTAATTTGATAAATCCACGAATTTTTTTATTATAAGTGTTTTTCAGTTAATATGACATGAACGAAATAGATAGTTCAATTAACAGAGTGATATGTCTTAGTTGACCTCAGTGTTCACTTTTTTATTTACACATGTTCTCAACCGGATATTGAGCACTTTTGCCCCTAAATATAACATAACTTAAAACTACATTTCTCTCTCTCTCTCTTTCTCTCTATCTCTCTCTCTCTCTCTCTCTCTCTCTCTCTCTCTCTCTCACGTACACGCACAGACACATACATATACGCACACACACACTTTGAATGCGGTTTCCTCACCAAAACAGGGACAAAAATCCATATAAACATATGGCCTAAACTCCTTCAGTTTCTAAAAGAAAATTACCGTAGATGTCACAGTGTTGCCATGTAGACTTGGTTACATTTGTCATCTGTGTACATTTGTGGCTGGTCAATGTGTGTAGTAGTGAGTTAACTGAGATGTGTTCCGCTTAACAATGGCAGGATATTAATATCATGAGCAGTTAGTTAAGATTTTACATACAGCCGCGCAAATGGTAATGCGAGGCTGCACGGCTGTATCAGATTATGTTTTCAGATCAAAATCAGCCGAGTCATCCAACCTTTGCTGCTGTTTATCGTCGCGTTGCTGTTAAAGGATCCGTACCATCACAAACGAAGGATCACGTGGATCGCTCGTACACCTGACCACGAAGAATACATTCTACGGGCTCTCGGAGAGGATCCAGGTATCAGCACACATCCAGTGTCCCTAGCATGTCGTACATCTCATAGTACAGCATGGAGGGTACTTCAAGAGCAGCTCCTGCATCCGTATCATTTGCAAAGTGTACAGGGTCTTTCACCCTCTGTTAACTCACCACAGGAGAACGTTTGCCGATCTGTTATTTGTCTCTTCAATCTTGTCTACGGATGAGGCAAGTATTTGGAAGAGATGGAATAAAAAAAATACACAGAAAAGTATTTTTGGATTATACATTTAACAGTATCTAACATAAACTTTAAACCCCAAAACAAAGTATTTGTGGATATATGTTTATATGCTCTTTTATCCTTATTTTGCTGTGAGAACCCGACTCCAAAGTTTGCAAAAGTATTTCTGATGCACTATATATATATATATATATATATATATATATATATATATATATATAATACTACGTTACTTAAAAATCAAAAACCGAAAAGAGAAAATATACAGTATAACAAATAAATAATAACAAGTAAAATAAATTGACCTAAATTCATCCAAATAAATAAATAAACAAACAAACCGATCCCGATAAACTAACCATTAGAAAAAACAAATAAAGATAATAAATCCAAATAAATACATGAAGTAATAAACAAATTAAAAACTCTTCTCGTCAAATTAATACTTAGAATAAACTACAACAATCAACCCCAAAATTGAATAAATAGCTTTATCTTCCAAAACCAAAACAAAACTATTAAATAAGCGATATAAGCAAATTTTTACTACGTTAATAAAAAACATCGATTAAAATAAAAAATAAATAATTAAGTAAATAAATATATAAGATAAGAAATAAAAATAAAAATTAAATTAAAACATGCAAAATAATTTAACCCAAATAAATAAATAAACGACTACCGGTAAAATAACCGCCAAAATAGACTACCCACAATGCACCACTGACCCGTATATATAAATAGTCGAGAAAAATAACAGCACTCGTGGCCTGACAATTGCATCTAGAATGAAACAGACTGTCGTCTCTAAGTGTTGACTTCTATGTTCACTTTTATATATATATATATATATATATAGAGAGAGAGAGAGAGAGAGAGAGACAGACAGACAAACAGACAGAGAGAGAGAGACGGATATGCAAAGTGGTTGGCCCTGATATGGCATCTCCTTTATAGTCGCTTTCTCACAGACGTGCCGTCACCCCCTCTGTCTTTTCTGCAAATACTTTCACGGTAACTGCTCCGACGAGCTACTTTCGCTGTTTCCCAAACTGCATGAATTTAAGCGTGCTACTAGGTTGGTATCTCTGTCCTTTCACTGTCGAAGCGGTTAAATGTAGCCGTCTCTTCTCTTCCAATAGATTCATGTCTCGCACTTTCCGTCTGTGGAATTCCCTTCTTATTACTTGTTTCCCTGATAGCTATAATCTCCATCTATTCAAATGTAATGTCAATCGACATCTCCAGATGCCCTGACCTATTCCCTGTCCTTCTCTTTATCCTTTCCTCTATCACCTCTCTTTACTCTTGCTCCCACTCTCTGTAACCCCTTGCGTGCTCGTGGCACTCCGACCTTGCTTGGATGAAAATCTTTGTTATGGTCCGGTTCCTTGTACCACGGCGATGGTCCAAGGTAGAACCAATAAAGAAGAACTCGAATACGGATATGGAATAACACAGATATATTACAAACAGGAATATATACAGAGAGGTAGAAAGTGTTAGTACGAACAATCAGGTTTAGTAGTAATTGTCTGAACGCGACTCTGCTTCGGACTGCCTCTGACTCGACTGACTCGCTCGCTCTGACTGACTGACAGACTCCTGACGGACTTCACTCCAGACTTCAGAATGAACTCCCTGCTTCCGCTTGAGGCACAGTATTTATTACGTATGGAATAGTCCATTATGTTATTATGGGTAAGGTCCCATAACAATCTTAAATATATATATATATATATATATATATATATATATATATATATATATATATATATATATATATATATATATACCTGTGTGTGTGTGCACCCAATGTACATATGTATAGACGTATATGGGTGCAAATGTTCAGTTTAAAATACAGACAAATATAATTTGATTATAGTGGTGAAAAACCAGTCATAATCTTTGTAATAGCTATTAACAGAGAACGGGTGCACTGAGTCCCACAAATCGGCAAATATCAATTATGTTTTATTCTCACATAAGAATCAGATCTTTCTCGAATAATTTCAAATCCTAGGGTGAACTATATATATATATATATATATATATTGTCACTGATGGTCAGGCGACAGCGACTTTAGGTGATAAAATGAAAATAAAACAAGCAACTGTAGTTTATGCTTTTTAGAAAATTTAAATTTATTATATATTTTTATTTAACAGTGAAGAAATAAGAATTAACTGAAGGTCTTAGGATTGAAAATCGAATATTTGACTTGAATAAATGACCTCAAATCAGACAAAACAATCAACAGACATACATCCGCACGAAAAGTGAAAGTGAAAGTACAAATTCGTCACAAATCCAGTGAAATACTGAAATCATTATTCGTCTATTCATATCTATAAAAACGGCTTTCTCTCTTCAAAATATCTATTCGAATGTCTTCAGTATATTCCTTTAATATATTTTTGTTTCCTCACAAGACATTGGACATATATATATGGACTTTATATATTACCTGATTTTGTCTCAAAGAGTATAAAAATAGCAAAGACCTAGGCAAGGGCGTTTGCAGCTGCAATGTTCGTAGAGAGGATCATGTATGACGAAAGTTGTTAAGACGATGTTTTTGAATACTTACCTGCATAAACTTTATGTAAGATCGAAATTATTATTATCTGCCTTTGATAAAAACAAAATAATTGTCTGGCAAAACTCGTCAGTAATTATCGTATTTTTCTTCGTATTACAGCGTTTGTTTTTCTTTTACAACTTATAATTTTGTCAGCTTCTCTTCTTAACTGCTGCTAGCTCTTCACTGTTGTCAGCAATGCAGCCCGAAAGAGTCTTTCTTTCAATCTGCGATGGTGGGCTGAAAAATTCATAGGTTAAGGGGTAATGCTAGAGCTTTGAAACTTTGCATGAATTAATTTGAACTTTTCTTATTAATAAATGCGTTATATCTTTCCAGGTAAAATGATATCTAACTGTTCAAAGATTTCAAATGTAAAAATGCAGTTCTTACCAAGAAGAGTAAAAATGAATGATTGCAAGATCTCACAGCTCTAGCATCACTCCTTTACAGTCAGCCTAAGAATGTTTTTGCCCAAACTCATATATGGAAAGAAACAATGCAGTTATTAATAAAAAGAGGTGAAATTAATGCACGCAAGATCTCACAGCTCTAGCATAACTCCTTCATAGTCAGTCTGTGAACCTTTCAGCCCAAACTCACAGAACAAATATTGCTGTCTTTTTTAGAGTTTCATTCATTTTTTTCAGTTAGTTATATTTTTCTTTTTGTTCTTATTTGTTGTAGAGTATGTAGCACCCCTTCAGCACCCCTTAGGCATCCTACCAGATGGCCTGGCTCTTAGCTTTAAATAGTCTACAATTAAGGACTTCAACAGTTGATTAATAAATTGATACTAAACTGATGAAAAATTCGGACTGTTCTTACTTCGTTTGGCTATACAGCATTTGACCCTCTTCTATTCCTTCTAAGTTGTCTTGTTAATTGTTTTGTAACTTATTGTTCTGTGTTTTTTGTATGTATTCATTAGCACCGGATACTGGTGCTGAATAAATATATTAATCACTCATTCTTCTCTGTGTATCATTTACCGCGACGATACAACGTAATTAAAGTTCTGTTTCCCTGTTTCGTTCTTCTGAATATCTTTCGCTTTCTGGTTATTCTTCCGCTTCTATTATTATTCTTTCTGAAATTCACTACCTTATTGCCTGTCTTTCTCTTTTCTAATTCTTCACTTCTCTTTTATTTTTATTTTCTCTTTCTTTCTCCTTCGCTTTCTGTTTTTCTGTTGTCTTTTATTTTTCATATTCTTTATTTCCTTTATTTTTTATGTTTTTTTTTTTACTTCTTTTTACTCCTTAATAAGAAAAGGCAGACAATGAGGAATAATTAGCCTTCACTCCCTTGGATGTCATTCTACCTTCAGCGGTTTACTCTCAGCCAATGATACCAGAATATTTATTTACGCTGACTCTGAATGCGCAAATTCTACCTGTAACTCATCTTTTACTTTCGGATTGCAACTGTCCAAAATCGAGCGCAAAAAATTACCATTTTCCGAAAATTTGTCTCCTCGCCAATCACTTTTCTTTTCATCTTTGGATTGGCAGAAGGTAATAAATCTTGCAGCGCAAACAGAAGGGATCGATGGAAGATCATTTATCTGTTAGTTCCATGCGAAAAGCTACACAACCAGAGATTTATATAGGAGCGCATCAAACCTTGCAGTCTTAGCATTGATAAATATATAACATATTGAATAAATATAGTGATTTTTGGTTTGGTAACATTTTATGTCGTCATGTCTTGCTTTATGCATTTCCTGTAATATTCCACTGGTTGTTTTGACTTAGCTTTTATTCTAAATATTTTTTTTATTATCTCTTTGGTTATCTGCCAAGGTAAAAAGAATTCTCAATACAACATATTCCCCCAAACCTGATCCAATGACTAAACACCAAAATTTATTTTGGAATCTCTTTCTGGAAATCATGAAGTAACCAATACATCTATCTATCTATCTATCTATCTATCTATCTATCTCAGCCTGTTCATATCTATCTATCTATCTATCTATCTATCTTAGTCTGTTCATATCTATCTATCTATCTATCTATCTATCTATCTATCTATCTATCTATCTATCTCAGCCTGTTCATATCTATCTATCTATCTATCTATCTATCTATCTCAATCACTGATACCATAAATTCGGATAATTTTACTAGTTTGTGATTACTAATATTTTCAGGGGGAAAAAAACCTCCATTTTAGAATTCTCTTGTTCTTATAAAATCTAGGATACCCTTAAAATGTAGAAGAAATAATTCTCAATCTAGGAATTGTGATAATATTCGCCGTTTGCTGATTTTCTCTTTTTATTTTAAAGATACAAAGATTGTTTAATATTCAAATGTGTTAAAGTGGTGCGAGGAAGAAACGTTGTAGATGGATCATTTAGTCCGTAGCCTATTTTCACAAATGACAATAATAATATGCAATAAAAATAGAAGATCCATATTTATCTTAAACTGCGTACTGTATCAGAGCAATAAAGTTGTTGTAACCTAGCGAAGGTTACTGAATAGAATAATCACACGAAGGTTGGCAATGAACGATAATACTTAGGACAAGAACAACACATATAAGATTCGCCAGCGGAGCGTAGAAGTAGTAGCCAACTGCTAGAAGTGAGTCAAGTGAATTCCACAATGAATCTTCAAGTGCAGGGTATCTACCAACCGCCCCATGCGGTCAAATGTGGCACAAGGCCGAATTTAATGTGGGGTATCCGGGCCCGTAGGCACGGCCAAAAATTCTCCGTAGACCCAATATAAAACTGGTTCGGGTAACTATTTCACGAGACGAGACTCTGCCCTTCGACATAGACTCATCTGGGTCTCCTCTCTGTCCTAAGACAGAAAGTTTCACCAGCACTGCTGGAGATGAATCTCCAACTGAAGGATATTTACCACCACCTCACGCAGTCAGATGTGGCACAAGGCCGAATTTAATGTGGGATATCCGAGCCCGTAGACTCGGCCTGAAATTCCCATTATCGTGCGTAGGTATGCTGCAACAAAAGTATATAATTAACTATACACATTACCTGCGTCAGTTGTACGACTCAGATGAAGTAACCAATACATCTATCTATCTATCTATCTATCTATCTATCTATCTATCTATTCTATGAATCGTCAGTTACTAAGAGTTATGAGCTTTTCAATACGGTTGTTTTAAAAAATTCTGGCTCTCATGGGAGCAACGATCTATTGTATTCAACGTTTTAAATTATTATAATTAAAATTTAATATTGGGGTATAAATGCAAAAAATGGTGTGCAGGTAAGAAAATGACGTAAAATAATGTAAAATAAAATTAAAGTAAAAACTCTGGTAAAATATTAACTCCGTTAAAAAAAAAAAAAATTACCAAGGCGTCTAAGGGAGGCAGTTTTACCCTTATAAGGATCAAGGCGAAGAGGAAGGAAAAGAGAAAGGGGAGGAAAAGAGAAGAACGAATAGGAAAAAGAAAAAGGTAATAATATGCAGTAAAAATAGAAGATCAAAATTCATCTTAAACTTCGCACTCGTTGATTACCTCTTATGCACCAAGACGTCTTCTGCAATCTCGAAAATCAATGTCCGTTCATTATTGGATCGTAGTGAAAACACTATTCGTAAAATGACGCACGAACTAATTCCACAATCACTTTTAATTCGTTCGATCCTAATGTGCGTCTCAGTTATTGTGGCCAGATTTAGATAAGCTTATTAAATAACACTAAAGAAAATTCTAACCCAAATTATCACTACATCCTTCGCGTGAAACATTTACACATTTTTCAGTTCATTCGATACAGAAGAATTTAATAATTAAATGCCAAGACCCTTCAGGACATAGCTAACCATGACTCTCTACAGCTTCCGTTTCTTTATTATCTGAGAATTACCATGCCTTCTTGGTAAATGTAGTGGACTGGTTTCGAAACTAGAGAGTCCAGTCTACCCTGCTATTTAACCCATAGTTGGAGGGAGATGACTCCATGCCTTTCCCAATAGAAAAATGAACGTAACTGACTAGGACGGAGTTTGAACTTGGCACACTGATTCCCCCTTTCCAATGCTCAAACATATCACAAAAGAAGAATGGTCTTGTCCGGAATTTGAACCCGGCCATTCTCGCACCCAAAGAATTAATATCTCTCGGCCAACGAGGCGACACAAGCAGCAGGCCACTTTCAGTAATTCTTTTAAAATCTCACGTTTCCATTTCCTTCTCATTACTAAGAATGATCCATCACCATGATGTTGGATCATAGAATAATTATTGTAACTTGAGATTTTTTCTCTATCTTCAAGGAGAACATCAACATTATTTTTACTATTATTATTTTAAGGTAAGATCAATAAGTAACGAAAAACAAATATCACCCATTACGTTCATCCAATTATAACTGATAAGGAAAGTAATTATTGCAATAATTATTGTCGTTGTCCGAGATACATTTTAATTAGTCGAATCAGCAAATATTCACTTGGTTAGTAATTATCTCTTCATACCTGAAATAGATACCTAATTTTAAATAGAATTTACTGACTGTATGTGTTATAACACAGAAACTCCCTTTATTCAGTATTCGGACGGACAACGGTAAGAGAAAAATACAAAAAAAAGCGACCAGATGTTAGAAAATATATTGCTAGCTAAAAAGAAAACTTCCATTAGAAATTACAGCAAAAGAATAATAACATTTTGGAAAGAAAAGATCCTACGAGATACATCAAATCATAGATTTGTCAATCAAGCGAAACATATCCTATACGAAGACTGGATATTACATTTTGAGCCTTGGCCAGTGCAGAAGAAAACAGAAGGTGAAGAAGGAATCAATGAACACAACCAACCTTAAATTAAGCGGAAAAAAGGACGAAAAGGTATTATTAAATTTAAGATTCGACACAAGAGGAAGGAACAGCCATCTTAACAGTCGCGGAGAAAGAAAATGTACACAGATTCACAAGTACAATTCAAGAATAGAAGAAATCCTTACTATCACTGGGAAAGAAGAACAGGATAAAAGTGTGGTCTGGAAGAGAAGACATCAATAAATTTCTGCATCAGTGGTTCAAAGGTCGTGGCAGCAAAAATATAAAGAAAGAGAAAAAACATAGGAAGAATAACAAACTAGCTTGGGAAATCAGATTAGAATGAAAAAATCTCCAAGCAATAGAAAAAATCTCCAAGAAACAGAAAAAAGTATGAACAAGATTAAAAAAAAAAGTCAAACAACACGAATAACAGAATAGTGTCAAAAATATAAATTGAAGTGAAAAGTATAATCAGAAAAAAAAAAAACAAAAAAAACAAAAAAAAAAAAAAAAAAAAAAAAAAAAAAAAAACAAAATTAAGCAAAAAACAAAAAAAAACAAAAAACAAAAAAAAAACAAAAAAAAAAAAAAAAAAAAAAAAAAACGCTGAATAGATAATTAGAATATTAAAAAAAAAAAAAAAAAAAAAAACATTCTCTCACCAAATCCTCAGAAAAATCCATCAGACATGACCGGAGAAAAATTATTTCACTCTAACATTGTCGATTTATTCAAACCTATAAATATGAAATGTCAACAGACGATAAGTCTCAAATAGTCACTGAACGTTATTTGAAGATAACATACAAGTTATTTCTTTGATATTTTTTAATCAATTTTTCTTGTTGGCTGATTAGTTTTTGTATCTTAGTGCATAGGAACTGACTGCAGTTCTTATTAAATCTTGTCAAAATGACAAATTTTTACTGGCTTCAGTCATTATCAAGTATAAAAGAAATGAAATGAAATTCTGTTTCCTGATATTTTGGATGTTATTAAATTTTAACATCTGTCTATATTTCTGAACTGAGGTATTGCAACTGTTTACATTATTTATATTATTCAGATTGCTGTCCTGATGTCTACTGTAATATTCACAACGTTTCGGCCGTTGTACGCTGCGGTCTTCCTCAGGATTTTCTATATTTCTGAAATGAGGTTTTGTAACTATTTACATAGCTGACATTTTTGGACTGTTGTCCTCATCTCTATTATCATATTTACGACGTTTCGGACGTTGTACGCTCCGGCCTTCTTTAGAATCTGTCTATATTTCTGAAATGAGGTATTGTAACTATTTATATTATTCAAATTGTTCAGACTGTTGACTTCATCTCTATTATCATATTTATGACGTTTCTGCCGTTGTACGCTCCGGTCTGTTTCAGGGTCTGTCTATATTTTTTAAAATGAGGTATTGTAACTATTTACATTATTTACATTGTTCGGACTGATGTCCTCATCTCTATTGTAATATTCACGACGTTTCGCCCATTGTACGTTCCGGCATTCTTCAGGATCTGTCTATATTTCTAAAATTAGGTATTTTACTATTTATATTGTTCGGACTGTTATCCTTATCTCTAGTGTCATATTCACGTTGTTTCGGCCGTTGTACGCCCTGGCTTTCTTCAGGATCTGTCTATTTTTCTGAAATATAATATTGTAACTATTTACATTATTTACATTGTTAGGACTGTTGTCCTCATCTCTATTGTCATATTCACGATTTTTCTGTCGTTCTATGCTCCGGCCTTCTTTAGTATCTGTCTCTATTTCTGAAATGAGATATTGGAATTATTTACTTTATTACATTGTTTGGGCTGTTATCCTCATCTTTTTGGGATGATTTTGCCTTGCATGATTTTTTTCAAACTCCGAAGAAATTTGATGAGCAACATAACCCTTTGCCTGACATATGTGATTTCCACTTTCGTGCATCATATGTGATACAAACGAGCCATGATTTTTAAAAAGTTGTCAAACTAAGGACGCTTAAGAAAATAATTTCCTATTGAGAAGGACATCTGAGGAAAGGCGGAATCTAATATTTTGTGCATCATGTATGACCACAGGACGCTTGCCTGTTTTCAGATTTATAATTTATTATAATTATTTGCCTAAAAGAATGTGTTAATATATAGTATTTTGCATAATTGAAACCTCACGGCAGAGTAATGGATAGCGGCTCTGATTGAGGAATAGGAGAGCCGGGTTCGAATTCCAGTCGAATCTATTACATTCACTTACGTGCTAATACCCTTCGGAAAGGTATGAATCTTCTTCTTATGCGTAAGTAGCAGGACAGGCCGGGTTCTGTAGCCTTGGATGGTAACTGGTCTATTGCAGAAAGAAATAGCAGCCTACCGCGGGGGAAAAATCTGCTTTGCCAGTCATGTATCGAAAAGTCATGTATCACGCCTGAGACATAACTGACTGATCTCCCATGTGATGCACCGAACGTAGTGAAAATAACTTATGATTGGTACGTTTTTATTATATGAGATATATATATATATATATATCAGCACATTCTATTTACCAAATAAACTGAGTTGCCTTGCAATAGTTATAAATCTGAAAACAGGTATGAAGGTTTGGATTGTACAGATGAAAATATTCTGGACAGGCAAAGGATTAAACAATGTTTTAGTTTCCTTCATTATCGAATTAAACAATTATGTAATTTACAATAATATTCCTACCTTGAAGATCTCTCATTCCCAATGTCCATGTTATAACTCATTACCAAGAGATTATCTGTTATTTCTTTTCTGGTGATTTTACTGATGTCTTTGTGTGTAAATCTTTATTAAATGTTGAGCCTTAATAAAATAATCGTTTCTCTTATTTAATACGAGCAGCATGGCCCGGCTTTGCTCGTGCTTGATTCAAAAATCGTACAACTCATACAGCAATCGCTATCACTTGACTTAAAATATTTTTACCCTTCCTTGCCGTTAAAGGAGTGCCCTTTGGTGTGCTAATGTTGCTACATGCCTTACTTCTTGCCTATCTCACACTGCGATTTTTTTTCTAAGCTCTATATTAAACATTAAATCTGTTACGAAAAAAGAACTAAACAAAATGAACACAAAACGATCAGCTTTAAAAAGGACTCGTAACTGGAAAAACCGAATGAAAAAAGAATGTTAATGACAAATACTTTTCCACACCCAACCCAGTTCTGCGGAATCAGAATCAACGTTGAGTTTAAGCAAGCGAATGAACCAATTGGAGTAAAGTGCCATGCAGATTTAAATTTTTCTCACTTGTGACGAATGCAGCTATCGATTTTTTTGCATGCTAGCATGCTAGTTAA